ATCGTCACGCTCAGTTTTATCATTGGGGTAGACGGTAAGTCTCAGGAACGTCATTTGGCGTTTCTCCAACTGACACATACCTATCTTTTTTGCATCGTCTACGTTTCGTTTATCAATCGGTTATAAGTAAGTTTTATTTGGGGCTCTTTTTACTTTTATTGTTTTGGGCGTTACGTTGCTGTTTTAGTAGACGTTCTCGTTCGCTTAGGGCAGGGTATGTCCTACTGACGTATACATTCATTCTCGCTCCATTTCATTCGTTATTCTCATTTCATCCATTCTTTCCTGTCCAAATCAGCACAGATTCAAATAAATTGAAATAAATATATTATATCCTTAGATACAGCGCATCTGTTTACCTCAAGATTCAAGGTATATGATATTTTAGGTAAGTATATTACCTGTACTATATAACAGATATAAATATTTTTTTTGTAAATTACATAGAAAACACCAGATAAATGTAAGTACTTGCATCGTACTAAGAATGATCTCATGACCATAGAACGTAAAGCGGTGTGCTTAACCACTAGACCAGCGAGGTCGTTATAATTATAAAATTGTTTAGCAAATAAGGGCGAGCGTAGATTGAGACATCAAATCGCATGAAGTAATGACATGCGTGTATTGTAATAATATTATTAATGTATTATTACAATATCATATTTATTTACAAACGCATCGTTTGTATATGATGATATTAACATTATTACAGTTATATTAATATAATAACGCAATATGGAGGCGTTACGAGATGTAATTGAGATGACGAAATGTTTGTTCAATCGTTGCATTTGGCTATACAAAAATGTACATAATGTAATGACATATTGGTAATAAAAATTACTACATTATTATTTTTGTTTATAGACGGCCTCGGTGGTCTAGCGGTTCTGCACACCGCTTTACTTCCGATGGTCGCGGGTTCAGTTCCTCGCACGGTACAAACATTTGCATTCATGAGTATGATTATTTGTGTCGGTCTGGGTGTTATCTACGTATATTATGTATGTATTTACAAATAAAATATCTACGTATTTATATCATTTGTCTAGTACCTATAACACAAGCTCTGCTTAGCTTGGGACTAGATGGCGCTGTGTTAATTGTCCAGAGCTATTATTATTATTATATGATACTATTTCTCTCGATATCGCCCGCTATTGGAGAGACTGAGATATACTATGTATATTCTTTGTCGTGATTGTAATTACACGTCATATATTGAGAATAGATCCTATGAGAGTATAATCTATTCCCAATCTATGATATCATACCATGTAACATTTCATTAGAATCAGTTCAACCGTTTAGACGTGTAAATACAACAAATGAAATATATTATTAATATGAAAGACAATATTATTTCAATAAATCATAAATAACCCTGCACAATTAACACAGCGCCATCTAGTCCCATGGTAAGCAGAGTCTGTGTTACGGGTACTAGCAACTGATATAAATACTTATTTTTTTTAATACGTACATAATATATATCACCCAGACAGATACAAACAATCATACCCATGAATACAAATGTTTGCACCGTGCGAAGAATCGAACTCGCGACCATCGGAAGTGAAGCGGTGTGCTAAACCATTAGACCACCGAGACCGTCGCATAGGATCATATTGTATATATATCTTAAGAGTTATTAAAACGAAAATGAAAAGTGATTTCACAAGATTAGATCATTGTTAGTCCATATGGAACTAGTGACGCATTGTAGGTAATGTCAGGTCGACCTTGATTGGCAGCTCCGACCCTCCTGGCAACTGTTGCGGTTAAATCCTCGTTTAGAATTAGTCAGAATCGTATATATGATCTAACTTCAATCTTCTTTCATCTTTCACTAATGCTCAATTTCCGTAAAGCGTTAGCGTAGGTGGAATTATGATGCCATCAACAAAAAACTGAAGATTATATAATGTGATTTACATGTGATATTTAAACGGTTTAGTACACCGTCTTACTACCAATGGTCGCGGGTTCGATTCCTCGCACGGCACAAACATTTGTATTAAGGAGTATGATCTTTTGTACGGTCTGAGTGTTTTCTATGTATAATATGTATGTATTTGTATCAGTTATAGTTAACACAAACTTTTGCTAGCTTAACTTGGTTCTAGATGGCGCTGTGTGAATTGTCCTGAGATTATTATTATTATTTGTTATTTATTTCTATAATTTTACACAATAGTAAGAGTACATATGGCGGATATAATACCTAGTGGCATTTTCTACCAGGCAACCATGACTGGTGCGAAGATAAATTGTGTGGAGGTTGGCCTGATTACCACAGATAAGATAATTAGTAACAATGCCCTGCATATTAATATAAGTTTAGTATTACGGCCGTATAACTATGAATATTGAATTCCCATTGTCATAATAAAATCCACAGAACTTTCTTAATATTTGTTTTTTCAAGACAACCAAAAAGAATTGGTTTAAAAATGAAATCGAAATATATAGAAATGAAATCACGCGTGAAGTTGTGACTAAGGGAAATACTGATTCATTCTATATATATATCTTATATATAAAATTCTCATGTCACATGAAACTGCTCGACTTACTTTTATGAAATTTTATATGCATATTCAGTAGGCTTGAGAATCAGCGACTGTCACACCGCTTTACGTCCGATGGTCGCGGGTTCGATTCCTCGCACGGCACAAACATTTGTATTCATGAGTATGATTGTTTGTATCGGTCTGGCTATTTACTATGTGTAGTATGTATATATTTACGAAAAAAAATATATCTATGTATTTGTATCAATTATCCAGTACCTATAATACAAGCTTTAGCTAGCTTTACTTGGGTTTAGATGGCGATCTGAATTGTTATTAGATTATTATTATTATTATACAAGCCTAAATTCCCACACTTCTATCACTAACTCCTATTTTTTAGCAATATTTATACTAAAATTTATACGGCGTTCTTTTCGATTGCGGGGACAACTAATATATTATATATATATAGGGATTTCGGCTTAGATATCTTGTCTCACGGTTCCATATGCCAGTATATAACAATACATAATATATTGACATATATATATATATATATATATATATATATATAAACGTATTCATAAGTCAGATGACTGACCGAGAATAATAGGTAATTGATCTTGCAATATGTTCAGAATCTTAATACGGTTCCATATATTAATATTTATATTTATTTTAAATTTTATAAATATAACAAAGATGATATTGTGCCTCGAACTGGGAGAACTTGTATAGCAGGAGTTCACAATAGAATTGCCAGATGTTACTATCATTCGTTGACATATCATAAGAGTCTGCAATAGACCCGACATAATTTTATTTGATTTAACAAAACACCTCGGAGTTCAATTTTAAATTACGTATAAAGAAAGAAAGTTATCTGTAATATATATACTAATACATATATAATAGTTGATAAAATTAGATTGTTGTCAGATATAAAGGATGCAACCTCAGCCTCCCAAGCGCATTATTCTATTTACAGACATTTACATTATTCTATTTCCATTTATATGTCCTTCCACATAGGTTCATTTTCTTCTATCCGTATCTCTCATACTATAGCTGGCTATTTTAAACACAGACAAAGACATCCCAATTGAGGGTTAAAATATATATAGACGGCCGAGTAAAAACTGTCGACATAATATAGAAATATAGATTTTAGAAATTTAGAGGGAATAAATATTGAATTATATCGTATCGTTATAAACTAATTTTGATTGGAGACAAATAAATGATAGCTCTTATATATAGTAGATAATATATCAAACAATACAAAAAATCACATTCATGAACACAAATGTTTATATCATGTGAGGAATCGAACTCGCGACGATAGGAAGTGAAACGGTGTGCTAAGTAACCGCCAGACTACCGAGGCTGCTGTCTATTGTGTTTTATATCTATATAGATTATAAGTATATGTACTCACCGTTCCTCCAGCATCTCGTTGAAGGTTTTGGATTTAGCGCGTGGTTGACTGGGCTCGTTCTCCATACGTCGCACCTCAACACACCGCTCTATTATGTGCTCGACGCGCTTCCGGCGTGATGATTTCCAATTGTCCAGGTTCTGGTGGCAAAACACCTTTATTTATAAATTGGTACTATTTGACTCGCAAACGTTGTTTTGGCCATATAAAATAAAATCGCTATTAAAAATAGGGGTTGATGCTAGAAAGGTGAAAATTTATCATTGTATGTATTTTTAATGTCACATTACAAACAAATAAAAATGTCTAAAATAGTGGTGGACAACCATTATCACTTTGGGGGTATGAAAAATAGATACTGACTTATTTTCAAACCTACTGAATATGCATATAAAAATTATAAAAATCGGTCACGCAGTTATGTTAACTAACATTATGACAATATATAAAATATAACTGGAATGTTAAATAGGCGGACGAGCCTATAGTCAAGTGGTAACTATCACTTATGTACGTCCCATGCGTGATATTTTTATACCACAACGGTGGCAAACAAATAACATTGCTCAGTAAGGTGTTGTGCTGCCATACACTATAATTCCACTGTTATATGCAACGTGAAACTGAAGTTTGCTGGTGTAGGAACTAGGCAAACTAGTAAAAATAAAAAAGGCAATAATGTTTAATCAGTACTATACAATTTCATTGTCATATCCCATTATTGAAACTGGTAGTGTAAGAACTAGGCGAAGTAGGAAATCTTTAATATGTATTTATAAAAATCAAAATTAATATAGACATATATATTGAAATCTTAATATAAGTATTTCTGAATTGAAAGTTTTTTATTTGGAATACGGATTCGGATATAAAGAATGCGCAAGAAAAATACAATGAATAAATATACAGTCGTACTTAAGAATATATATTCTATCTTTTAATTGATTAAAAATGTAAAATGAAGCACGTGACCGTGACCTTTAAATGCAGCAAATGCAAATGAACATGAGTCAAGCATTGCGTGTTCAGATTGTCATCTAGCTGCAAGAAAATGTCGCATCTCGGTTATTGCATTTACGAGATGAACGTGGAATTTATTTTATTTTATGTTAATGTAATGGCAAACAAGCTGACAGCTCACAAGTGAAAACGTCGACTATATCATGAATAGCTCTTATTACATTATGATGCACGTGATATCATTCTGGCGGTACATCTGATCAATTATCTTTTTTTAATGGGCAATAATGGAAAGGTGCAACTACTACGCTAACGGTGTACGCTGGCGAGGCGCCAGTGGAGAATGGCAGGCTGAGCATGATGTCAGATCAGTTAGTCAGGACTCAGATACACCAGTTTATGCTGGATTAACTAACGGAGAGCGACAGGACCACGAAATCAAATCAGTTGGCCCATCGTCACGAATTCACAATGATGGTTTCGAGAGAGACGTGTCAGATGACTCACGAAAACGGTATATGCTAGCGGGGCACCAAAGAAGAAGGGCAGGCTAAGCATGATGTCAGATCACTTAAAGATGCCAGGACTCAGAGACAACAGGAATTCACAACGATGACTTCGAGAGAGACGTGTCTGACGACCCACGGTAACAGTATATGAATTCACAACTGGAGACGGATTAACGGTATTATGGAATAGGGGGGGACTGGAATCGAATGACAGGATGACCACCAACTATGTAGTCTATGTATTTATATCATTAAAACGGGAATGTATTTCACGGAGTTGGTGAAATAAATAAGCGAGCATAATGCAAATTATCATCATAGAAAATTAAACAGCAAACAACAGGCTGGCTTCTGACCCAACGATGTTTCCGTCGATTAGATTTTGATGACATAATATTCGGTATTTGCCTTTTCATAGTATCGAGACGATTTTATTAATTGCATCTACACGCTAACGGTATTGTGGCACCAATAGAGAATCACGTTGGACAGTCGTATAGATTTATGTACATTATATGTCCTTCCCGGAAGAATTCCTCAAATCGTTCTAGCTTCAAAAATAACGATTTTACACACAAACTTGCATCTATTTTATTTTATCCCCTTTAGGATATTATGTTTACAAACTGAATATCCTATATATTTATAATCCACAGCCGTAAAATTAAGTTTCAAGTTTCTATCTTTAAAAAATTACGATACTTCCATACAATCTTATATCTCCCCTTTAACCATTTACAAGCCTTTTTCGCATTAAAAAGTAGTCTATGTCCTTTCTCAAAGTCTAGAATATCTGTGTACCATATTTAACTTAAATTAGTTCAGTAGTTTTGGCGTGAAAGCGAGACAAACAGACAGTGTTACTTTCGCATTTATATATTACTAATCATCATCATCAGCCCACTGCAGTCCACTGCTGGACATAAGCCTCTCCCAAGGCACGCCACTGGGCACGATCTTCAGCCCTTCTCATCCAGTTACTACCCGCAACCCTACGTAAGTCGTCGCTCCACCTAGCTGCGGGGCGTCCTACACTACGTTTGCCAATTCGCGGTCTCCACTCTAGAACACGCCTACTCCAGCGAGCATCGGTTCTTATACTGCCACTTCAAACAGATGCGAAGAGATGTCGGTGACCTTAGTTCTCTGGCGAATCACTTCGTTTCGGTAGAGAAACCCAAGCATAGCTCTTTCCATAGCTCGTTGAGCGACTTTAAGTTGGTGGACCAGTCGTATCGTCAGTGTATCGGCACCGTAAGTCATGACGGGTAGGACGCACTGGTTATAAACCTTGGTCTTAAGGCTTTGTGGTAGCGACGACGAGAAGACTTGACGAACAAATGCCGCCCAGCCTAGCTGTATTCGTCTCTTGGCCTCCCTCTCAAAGTTGTTTTTACCTAGTTGGAGCGTTTGCCCTAGATAAATATACTCCTGAACAACTTCGAGAGATACTCCATTAATGGCGACCGGTTCCGGACGAATGCGATCATTGAACATGATCTTGGTTTTGTCCAAATTCATCCGAAGACCGATGCGTTGAGACGATTCAGCCAGGCCGTTCAGCATCTGTTGTAAATCCTGCAGCGACTCAGCCATGATGACAATGTCGTCAGCAAATCGTAAGTGAGAGATGTTCTCGTTGACATTAATGCCGTAATTTTTCCAATCCAGCATTCTAAACATATCCTCCAACGCAGTTGTAAATAATTTATATAACAGATTTTATTAGGTGGATATGCTTAGTCTGCTGGGTTTGTACTTGGACGGTCATTGTTGCAGCGTTATAGAGACATCTCAACACTTCGATGTATCGCCAGTCGACTTTTATCCAGAACAGACCAGGTCTCGATAGAGTCAAAGGCCTTCTCATAGTCAACAAAGGCTAGACACAGAGGTTGATTATACTCTTCTGTTTTCTGTATAACCTGCCTTACTGTGTGAATGTGATCTATGGTGCCATAACCACTTCGAAACCCGGCCTGTTTTTGAAACTCATCAAGCCTTCGCGCAAGCCGATTCGTGATGACTCTTGAAAATGTATATATGGCTTAACAAAGAGATGGGCCGATAGTTCTTCAATTTATCTCCCTTTTTGAAGAACAGAATAACTATGGCCCTACTCCATTGTAGTTCTCCCGGTGAAGAGAACGGAATTGAAGAGTTTAAACCGCAAGTACAGGAGTACCTCCAGCCTTCAGGAGCTCAGTGGTTATTCCGTCTTCACCTGGGGATTTTCCATTTTTGAGCTGTTTAAGAGCCATCACGATCTCGTGTAATTTCGGGCATCTCCTCAGTGTAGTGGCGTGTCAGAGGAGCTCTGGAATCGACAACAAGAGATTCAGGCCGATATGCATGTGAGGCGTACAGTTCTCCGAAAAAGTCTTCAACTTCCGAGAGAATCTCCGGCTTAAAAGCGGTAACCGTCCCTGCAGATGTGGTTACCTTCGACAAGTGCCTCCTTTCTTGCTGTTGGACGAACACTTTTGATCCCCGATTCTGCTCAATTGCTTTTTCAATTAAAAGTGTGTTCGAGGATCGGAGATCACGTCGTACCAATTTTGAAATTTTTTTATTCAATACCCGGTGTTCTGGTGATGTTAGCGTTGAGGACTTGTCGCGTCGATGTTGAATAAGCTGCAGAGTCTCTCCCGAAAGTCTAGTCCTTTTTCCTGTACGCCTCTTCTCGCAAAATTTCGTGCCTTCATCCTTGAGGCAAGCTATTATAGTATCGAGTCTTTGGTCAATACTGTCTGTGGTTTCCAAAACCGCAAACCGGTTTTCCAGTTTTAATATGCTTTAGAACCAACGATGGTTTGGAGCATATTTGGCCGGAGCGTCGACTTCATCAGGCGTATTCTTTCCAGCTTGAGATCGATATTCAGAGAGCCACGAACTAATCTGTGATCGCTTCCGGTTTTAAACCTCGTGATCACAGAGACATCTCTGAATATACGCTTCTTATCCGTCAAGATGAAGTCGATCTCGTTTTTGGTCATAGAGTCGGGGCTCTGCCACGTCCACTTTCGTTGAGGTTGTTTCTTGAAGAAAGAATTCATCAAGAACAACCCCTCTTTCTCTAGAAAGTTGACGAGCACCTATGATTCCTACTACCAAAACCATGTGGTCCCATAGCTGTCGATTCGCTGCCGGTTTGGATTCCCACTTTAGCATTAAAATCCCCCATAACAATGTTGTAGAATGCCTTTGAGGTGTTATGTATGGCCTTGGATATGTCTTCGTACATACTTTCTACTTCATCATCCGAGTGTGCCGATGTCGGTGCGTATACTTGCACAACTTTAAGGCTATACCTCTCAGTTAGCTTTAATACGAGATACGCAACCCTATTCGACACACTGGAGATTTCTACAACATTGTTTATTAGGGTCTTATGGACCAAAAACCCGACACCACCTTGGGAAGGTTGTTCTCCCTCCCTGAAATACATAAGATGGCCAGATTCCAGAGTCATGGTGTCCTCCCCTCTCTTCGGACTTCACAAAGACCAAGAATATGCCATCTTATATATTTCAGTTCTTCTTCCAGTTGCGCGAGGTGTTCATCCAGTCGCAGTGTACGTCCGTTATACGTAGCCAGGGTCAATGAGTGTATAATATTAGTAAGGAAGTAAGGATAAGCGAAAAAATAGATGTGCTCGTATTTTAATATTG